GACGGTGGATGTGATGGCTAGGCTCCAGTCGATAATACAGAATGCTAAAGGACGTACCAGCGCGTCTAACAAGTGTGTTGGTATGCTTATCCTCGACGTCCAAAACGTATTTAAAAGTGCCTCCTGGGAATCCATCCTTARGGCCCTCGAGAGGACTGYCACGCTGAAGTATCTCTTCAACATCATAGGTTATCATCGACGGCACGTTCAACGACGCCGAGGTGTACTGTGGCGTCCCACAGGGTTCGGTGTTAGGACCCGACCTGTGGAACTTGATGTAAGACGGCCTATTAAAGATAAGTCTACCCGAGGAAACCGAACTAATAGCGTTCGCAGACGATGTCGCTATCGTATGYACGGCCCAAGTGCCTTTATTATCGGAGGATAGACTTGGAGCCGCGCTTCAGGACGTCATTTGTTGGATGTAGAAAAACAGCTTAGAGTTAGCATTACACAAAACAGGAGCTATTGTGTTCACTAATAGGAACACACGAAACACGATGAYGGTTGAATTTCCACCTCACAGCTTYGAATCAAGTCGATGTGTGAAGTATCTCGGGGTGTACTTCGACCCAAGACTGAAATTTACTCAACATGCCAGGGAAGCTGTGAAAAGAGCAATGGAAGCAGGAAAACATCTAGCGCAGATCCTGCCCAACCTTAGAGGGGTGAAGCAAATACTAGACGTGTGCAGGCGACAGTGGTCACGTCTAGGTTGTTATACGGAGCACCCATATGGTCGTCGACGATCACTTCGGAAGCGAAKCACATTATGGAGGTTGTTTATAGAAGRWTTATGTTGAGGGTCGCCTGTTGCTATCGTACTACTTCTTACGATRCAGCTYCCGTAGTGTCAAGTATGCCTCTCCTAGACCTGCTGGCCGAAGAAAGGAGGRTGATATWTAGTGGGATTGACAAAGGAGACGCTATGCAACTATTRACGAACTGCTGGCAACAGAAGTGGGACAAAAAGGCAGATGGACACATCRTCTCATAAGCGACGTCGCAGCTTAGTACCTGAGGAAKCATGGAGAGGTCTCATTTCACCTCAGCCAAGTATRGACGGCCCACGGGTGTTTTGGGAATTACCTGAAAAAGTACGGCCTCAGTGTCACTGATGCTTGTGCAAAATGTAGAGAAACCCCGGACAGCCCAGATCACGCAGTTTTCGTGTGTRACGATTGGCACCGATGGAGGACCGAAGCGTGCGTATACCTGGAGGTGGTGGAAATATCAGCGGACAATATTATAGACATCATGCTCCRATTGAAGTCCTCATGGGATAGGGTTAACCAGCTCCTCACGAGGATAATGATGCACAGAGAAGAGGAGGAGAGACGAATGCAGAGAGGCGGTGCGTGAAACGGATCGGAGTTCGTGACTCCAGACCGGCTGGTCCAGGACACCGGGTCAGAAAGAAAGAAGAAGACATKTAGGCGACTTTTGGCGAGGAAGCTGGATTTTATGGAGCCACAGGCATACCTGAAGTATTCAATAATGTATTCAATGTAGTATATTATTTGTTGTAGGCCAGCGTGGCCAAAGTAGGAGGGTTAAAACCCTACATATTGTATTATGTTGTGAATTGTAAGGTCACAAACAAGGGGACGTGGGCGTGATCAACCACAGTTGTATTTTTGATCAATAAATGATGGAGACCAGGAAGAAGGAATACCAACGTAATTCCCTTCTGGTCTTCAGTGAAACTCAAAAAAAAAAAAATTATATAAGAGACTCCCGAAACGACTTGTATTCAGATTTGATTTGAACAAGAGCACCAGAGCACCTTCACGCTAGTTTGTTTTCTAATTAATTAATTTGTACTTAGAATAATTCGTGCAGCATAACATTTGGACTTAGAAAATAAACGAGTCAAATTGCATATTTTCTAGACACTTAGAATATTTTCATTTATCGAATTATTTAAGTCTCCTGTTTTGAATAAAATATTTTTACTTTTCAATTGTGATAATGAATAAAAGTACATCTATAATAACCTAAATAATTGTTCGAGTCTTTACAAGAGTCACCTTATTCATCATCCTTGGTTCCTGACACCTGTAGCCAACGAGATCACTACTACAGTATATGTTTTATATTTTTAGGTACTGTGTTTTGTAATAAGCGYCATCCAAACACTTAGCAGTTTCTACCAGAGCCTTCTCTGTTCTTCAATGTTTCTATCTTATCGCTACTCATGTCTTTATATACGTATATGATTTACATTAATATATATTTTAAACAGCATAATATAATATATTRTATACATAAAAATTATTTTAATTAGATAATACGTGATTCCAACGAAAAATTGTGTAGCATAAAAATAATTTTTTTATATACTTTTTAAACGTCTAAGTTTTACTTACTCCTTTGTACATTTGTAGTACGAATGTAGCGTATGAAAAAAATCTGKGTCGTTGTAAAAGTTTCTCTCGTTTTACGAACCACAGTTGGATGGTGTTGATGATCATATTGACGTAAGTATCTCTTGTATCTCTCTATTACATWTAAAATTCTTAAAATTAATAAAAATCGTTAATACTTATCAGAATGACGTTATATGAAAATTACCTCAATTATGTGGAGGGATAAATTAACCGAAGGCTTCATAGCATCTTGGTTGCTAACCACGTATTCAATTATTTTCAATGCCAAAACCATCAAATCTTTTGTCGGTGAGTTTTTTGCATCTRTGATAAGAAATAACATTTATAATATGTGCTCACGCTCATCTTTTAAACTTGTATATTATAGACTAAGAAAACTCCCATAATTTAAGAAATAATAATAATTACTATTTTAAAATATTTAAAAATATGATTGACACCTAACCTAACCTAATGAGTAATGAGTTTATATTTTATACGGCTTACATTATTAATCGTCCAGAAAAATTAGATTTTGTGGATGGAAAACAACTCATAAGATTGAAATTTGGCATACTTTTTTATGACATCGTCACAACAATGTGTAAAAATTTGACCTTGAAATGACGTAAGCGTCAGAGATTATTTAGGTCGAAAGTCATGGAAATATCGTTTTTTGAATATCTCTCTGGTTGTTGGTTGTGCGATAAGAAGTAAAAAATAAAAATAATAAATTTTTCTTCTTTGATTTCTTGGTTATTAGCAGCAATGTTTTCTTCGGGTATAATATCCTAAGATGAACAGTCCAGTGGTTTATGCCTAAATATTTTGTCTGTAATTTTATCCAAATAATTCGTAGAAGATGCGTTGTCAGCAGAATATTGAATAAAAGCGCCTGTTCAAGTAATAGAAGATTGGGTTAAGGGTGTTTAACAAATGCTGCTCTATATAATAATGTTTATTGTATATGTTTGAAAATCCTAGAAAAGGCAAAATATTCGGTTTACGGTATACGTTTATATCYAAATCTTTGAAAAAATGCTGATACATCAATAAATAATTGGTACAAAATTGATCGTGGGCGAGTATATTTCATTATAGCATGACTTATTACTGTACATTTAGTTTTCAGTAAGTTGATATTAG